GAGTCGAGAACGGCGCGCCTGGCGGATGCGACGAATGAGCGCAACCACATGTGATGGATCCCGGGCTGGACTCCGCTTTGTCCACAGTGAGATGAGTTGCTTCAAGTGTATCTACGTGAAATGAATGAAAGCTGTTGTGCAATAAATACATGTCATGCCTCAGGTTTAAAAAGTCTTCTAGAATTTCACTGTCATATCCAACTAGCTGAGATATTACATTCTGGCTTAGATGTAAAGTTATACCATTTATCTTGGTTATATGATGTCCAAAGTTTTAGAGCGCATATAGACAAGTACATACTGCCACCTAATGGCGAGCATCTGTATCAACAACTTTGGCTCCTCAATGATATCCCTAAGTCATATATCACAAGATATTTGAATTGGTCAGATTTTATAACGCTGCTTAACACACCAAATAAAACTGATTGAGTATTCCTTCCTGCTGACTAGGTAAATATTTCCATTATCTGAGCATTAATTTAACTAAAAAAAATCCCAGATTACAGCAAACATTTCTATGTAAGTGTTCTCAGTATTGTTTTACTGATTAGTATAGTTTTACACAAATAATAGTACTTTTGAAAACCTTAAAAGCTATGTACACTCACACAAGATGAAGGCTGCACACAGCAATAAAAAGAGAGTTTGTCTTGTTTTTTTTTTTGTATAAATATTTAAGCATTTTTAGAATCAAGATGCATTTACTTGAGAAGCAATATGACATAAGATATTATGTCTTGTTTTCTGAAAAATGTATAAAACATTTAGTTAGTTTTTGCTTAAAACAAGAAAAAATATCTACCAATAGGGTAAGAAAAAGAACCTTAATTCAAAGGCAAAACAAGATTATTTTTCTTGCCTCGTTCGCAGAACTAACACAATTTTGATGAATTTTTCATGAAACAAAACTTACTTTAAAAAGTTATTTTGCTTTTCAAGTAAATTTATCTTGTTTTATATTTGTAATGGAAATCATTTTTGCAGTGAAGTCTTAAACACATGAAAGGCTACTCACTCAATCTCTGTATTTACATCAAATTATGACTGGTTATTTACATCAGAAGCAATGCTTACATAGTTTGCTGGTCCATGCACTTGGAATTGCCCAACTTGAAAGCATTTTTGACTGCATCCATCTAAACTCTACATTTACAGGGAGGCATTGGTGTCTCAAATAAGCCTAAGGATAAAACAGAGGTGGATTAAATGTAAATGTCTGACAATTAAAATGGCACTAAGTTAAATCAGACTTGTTTCCATCGAGAATTACTCTATGCTGTTAACGAATCGGTTGAGTAAACAATTCAATGACTCACTGACAACAAGGGATGGGCAATACCTCTTATTTAATTTCCGATCCGATACCGATATTTTCAAGCCCAGTATCATCGGTATTGATACCGATACTTCTAAACTAAACTGGTCTTTTAAATTATTAAAATAATATATAATTAGTAATTATACTAAATTTTTTAACATTTCATAGGCCTTTTTTGTTTACACTGTCAGAAATAAAATATACTATAATTGTATTTTAGCCCTTTACTGGGGCAGTAACCTCAAAAGTGCAACTATACCCCTAAAAGGGAGCATATTAGTACCATACAAGTATGCATGCTTTAAGGGTAGATAAGTTACAAAGGTGCCCCTTTGAGGATACCTCATGAAAAATAAACATGGTATTACATAAGTTCTAAAATGTATTATTACCATGGTAAATTTGTGGTTACTGCAGTTTTACTACAAATACTGTGGTAAACTGTGGTTACTGTAATACAACTATATACTAATATAATATTTTAAGGCTGCCAAGCTGTTTTTGCATATTTTTTCATGGTTAATGATTTATTAACAACAATTACAGAACATAACACAATCCATTTGAACTTTTAACAACCAGTTTAAATAAATTTACTTGCACAAACTAGCCAATTTTAAAATGAATATTACATGTACACAAAAGTTTGGGGTCAGTAAGATTTTGTAATATTTTTTTAAGTATCATGCTCCCCAAGGCTGCACTTATTTGAACAAAAAAAAAAAAAAACAGTAAAAGCAGCAATATTGAGAAATATAACAATTAAAAATAACTATTTTCTACTTTAATCTATTTTAAAATATATCTGTGATCAAAGCTGAATTTTCAGCATCAATACTCCAGTCTTCAGTGTCACATGATCATTCAGAAATAATTATAATAGTTGCTGCTCAAGAAACATTTATTATTATTGCTGCTTCATATTTGTGTGGAAACCATGATGCATTTTCCAGAATGAATTGTATATATAGTAACAATGTTATTTAAAGTAAAGTAATAATGTGGCAACGGTTTCTTAAGATCTACTTACGCTTCTGATGCTTTTTGGGAAACGCAGCCCTATTTGAACAAGCACTCTGAGCCATGCTTCAGCAGCAAACGTTTAAATAAATTTACTTGCACAAACTAGCCAATTTTAAAATGAATATTACATGTACACAAAAGTTTGGGGTCAGTAAGATTTTGTAATATTTTTTTAAGTATCATGCTCACCAAGGCTGCACTTATTTGAACAAAAAAAAAAAAAAACAGTAAAAGCAGCAATATTGAGAAATATAACAATTAAAAATAACTATTTTCTACTATAATCTATTTTAAAATATATCTGTGATCAAAGCTGAATTTTCAGCATCAATACTCCAGTCTTCAGTGTCACATGATCATTCAGAAATAATTATAATAGTTGCTGCTCAAGAAACATTTATTATTATTGCTGCTTCATATTTGTGTGGAAACCATGATGCATTTTCCAGAATGAATTGTATATATAGTAACAATGTTATTTAAAGTAAAGTAATAATGTGGCAACGGTTTCTTAAGATCTACTTACGCTTCTGATGCTTTTTGGGAAACGCAGCCCTATTTGAACAAGCACTCTGAGCCATGCTTCAGCAGCAAACTGTCTGTGATTGATTGGTTCTGTCTTTCAGCATTTGCGTGTGTTCAGTGTTGCCAATTTAGCAATTTTGTTGCTGAATTCAGCAACTTTTCAGATTACCCTAGCAACTTTTTCTTCCAAAAGCACCTGGCAACAAATTGAGCTATTTTTAAAATTTATTTGGCAACTTTTGATAAGTGACTCAAACGATAAAAAGGTACAATTTACCATTTAAATTACACAAAAAGAGGAAACCAAAGATGCAGTTTGAAAAGGATCTGAGTGAGTGTTATATAGTGACTGTGTGATTAGTTACAGCTGTGTGCAATCAGTGCTGTGTGCAATCAGTACAATGAATGATGGGATATGTAGTCTGGGATGACATGCAACAGTTTGTGTAGTGCGAGAGTCAATGTAATGGAAGGGTGAGTGGTGGTGAGTGAATTGAAGTTCATAGACCAGATTCGTGACACCTAGCAGTACACACATCACAGGAATTAAACTGCTATTTGCAACTGTTTAATTTATTGTAATAATAATAATAATTTAATAATTTAATACTGTTATTGTTCATTTATGAGACACTTTGTTAGTAGCTTGTACCTGCGATTGTTGATGAATTAGTAGCCTACACTGTAAGAAAAATATGTAGAAAAATGGAAAAGGTGCTAGTAATTTTCCAGGACATTATCCGTTGTAACCCTGTAACCCGAAAACACAAAATACAATGCGTAATTAAAAATGCAGGTAAATTATAACCTGTGGAAAAATCAATACAGAAAATTCCTTCATATTAACATAGTAGATTGTGTACTATTTTTTACAGACTTTTCTTAGAGTGTAGCATACTAACTAACTACTAATACACTGCTTTAAAGTATAATTGTTCAGAATGTGTAGATTTACTTGTTTACTAGCTAATAACAATAAAAAAAACTTAAATTGTACTCGTTCAAAAATGTGTACGTTTTCGATAATTCAATGTATTTAAAAATAGTTATTTATATTTTAATATTATATTATGTATTTATATTTTTACGAACAAATCTAAATGAACATATATAAAATATGTTTTTGCTGAGATCTGACACAATTTTGCGCCATGATTACGTAATGACGTCATCACGCAATGACATCACAACATAATTTAGCAACTTTTAGCAACAAATCAACCTTCCTTTAGCAGCAACTTCCACTGAAAATTAGTTGGCAATACTGCGTGTGTTCAGATGAGCAGGAGAAATGGTTCTATCCAACCATAGACTGTAGAAAAATATATCCAACACAATTATTCGCTATTATAATATAGTCTATTTTTCCACTTCGAAGCTTATTTTATGCACCAAATTTCTTGATAAGTAAATCAAACGAATGGTTAAAAAAATGCACTTCAGAATCGATATTTTTATGTGAGGATCGATCCTTTCGATACAACAACATCAGTATCAGGGATGTACTGACAACACACTTGTCGATCCCTACTTACTTGACGCTGTAAACTTCACAAAGAGCCAGGGAATTAATCTTTCTGGAGAACAAATTAAAAATATTCGAGTTTGAGACAGACATTAAAGGGGTCATATGATGCGATTTCAAGTTTTCCTTTCTCTTTGTAGTGTTACAAGCTGATTGTGCATAGATAAGATCCCTGAAGTTGCAAAGACTAAAGTCTCAAAACCAAAGAGATATTCTTTATCAAAGTTAAGACTCTGCCACGCCCCCCTAAAACGGCTCGTTCTAACACGGCCAATCACAATGCACTGGGTCAGCTGGCCAATCAGAGCAGACTGCGCTTGTCGGAAGGAGGGACTTTGTAGAAAACGAAGCAAGAGAGGCGGGGCATAGAAAACCTACAATAATATACAGTATTTGAAAAATAATGTGTTTTTTGAACATTAAAGCATGTCAACATATTCTGTTACACCAAATACACAAAATAATGATCTTTAAAAAAGCATCATATGACCCCTTTAATCAAACTCTCCACAACGCACATGCGCAAGAGCCGCTTGGAGCAGCTCTGCTCTGATGGCCACAGCGTGCTTCTTGAACTAGGAACCAATAATGCCGGGGGGCGGGAAATGTGACGTCACCAAGAAACGTTTTCAAAACTCCCAGCAACAGTGTGCAGAGACCGTGCCTTTTAACTGTGTATTACAAAAATGTCGGAAAACAAAAATACACATCACTGGTCTTCAGAGGAAACCAGCGTGCTGCTCGCGATATGGTCTTCCACAGAGATCCAGGAGAAACTGGAGAGCTCGATAAGGAAGAAAAGAGTTTACGATGAGATAAGCCAGGAAATGCTGAACGGTGGCTTCAGTCGCTCGACCGAACAAATCATAAACAAGTTAAAAAAGCTTAGGAAGGAGTACAGGGACCTGAAAAGGAAACCAAGTAAAAGTGACAATGAACAGATTCCTAAAACATTCGACCACAGCGTTATGGAGTCTGTGCTAGAACACCGACCAGCCAGTCATCTGACTGGGGCCTTGAATTCAGCGACAGCCACGCTTGAGAAAAACGCGGACTCCGTCGTGTTTTCTGTAGCCGAGCTAGGTAAGTGTTGTGTCTGTATACAGTGTTATGCTGTGTAATATTACTTGGTTGCTGTTCTAGCTACTGATGTTGCACAATTAATTAATTTAAAGCCAAACATAAACATGTAGTCTATGCTTTTATTGTAGGTTCCCTCCAAAATAAAAGCTCAAGTAAATACGGTGGCCGAGAAGTGCAAAGCAAATCACAATTCTGAAAACAAATTACAAACGCAAATGCAAGTCTAAAAAAACAAAATAACAATTCAGAAAACATTATAACAAGTCAGAAAACACAGCGACAAATCAGACAAACCGAAAGAGGTAGATATAGTTTGAGACGGCGCCATTGGTTTGGGATTACTCACCGCTGACTGGACGAGACATCTATCAATCAACGTATACAGGAAGAACATCAGAGTCGTGGTAGAAAATTCAGAAATGGTATTAAAGTAGCTCAGTTTAAATGTATTGTATGAATTGCCCTTACTATGGAATAAAAAATACGGAGTGTATATTTACATTTAGTTAAAAGTGGCTATAAAACATCAGCTCCAGTGGCGCAGATGGATAAGCGCGTGTCGTTGGCTTTTTGACGCGATCGACCCGGGTTCAATCCCGTCTTTTGCCGGAATTTTTTTTTCTCCCTTCGGCTGGTTCATGATTTGCTTTGCACTTCTCGGCCACCGTAGGAATTACGACAAAAAAAATTCAGAAATGTGAGTGCCTGGTTGCTAAACTGCTTAGACTAGTCTTACAATTTAGTAGTCTTTTTTTTGGACTGGTCGCAAGTTTATAATGTAGGTTACAAAAAAAAATAATTTGAATAAAAAGAAAAAGTCGGATCACCCCCTGACTAAACCGGTAGTTTGTCAAACTATTTAAGACAAAAACACAAACCTTGTCACAATTAAAGTAGAACAAAAAGAGATCTGAGGTTACTTTGCAATCACTTGAATTTAAGTGAAAACAGGTCTGACTGCCTGTTATCAAAGTGGACTTTGTTGTAAATAACTTTAGTCTATGCAGTGAAGTTTGGCAACCTTGACTAATGAGTCTTTTGTTTGTAGGTAGCAAAATAGCCGAGCCCAAAACTGCTCAGCTGTGGTCTTCAAAAGAAACCAGTGCACTGCTTGCGATATGGTCTTCCACAGAGATCCAGGAGAAGCTGGGGAGCTCAAAAAGAAGGAAAAGAGTGTATGATGACATATGCCAAGAGATGGTAAACAATGGGTTTACTCGTACCACCGACCAAATCATTAACAAACTAAAAAAACTTAAAAAGGAGTTCAGGGGCAATAAGACGGAGAAAAGTAAAAGTGGCAGCCAATGGAGCAATAGAACCATTAACTATGATGTTATGGACGCTGCACTGGAACGCCTACCAGCGAGTCAATTTACTGAAGCATTAAATTCAGCAACAGCCATGCTTGAGACAAATACGGAATCGCTGTCTTCTGCAGCTGATCTCCGTAAGTTTTTATTATCGTCTTTCTTTGTCGTTCTCTTTTCTACACACTTGCCTAATGTATTCTGCAAAGGAATAGCTCACATTGCAAATGTTGCTATCCTCATATGTTTGGCAAGATTATTATGTAAATGCACTATTTGCTACATTTAGATCTTCAAGTAATGTGCTGCTTTTATTATATTGAATACAGACTCTTCACTTGAGGAGGTGCTGGACCAAGCTGAATCATCTTTTAGCTCCTCTCATCCCCAACCAAGAAAGCCTCTGGGAAGAACCAGAATAAAGAAGAGGGATTCAAACCAGGAGCTGCTGGAATACTTGAAAACTGCCGATGAACGGTTTATGGCACACGCCAAAGAACTTAATACTGCCATTCTTAATAAAATGGATGAAGCTACGAATTCTATGCTGGGACTATTAGGACGCATGCTGGCACTAATGGAGGAACAGCAGGGAAATAAGCCATGAGCACAGGATTCCTTTTGCACGCTTAATTCTCATTTGCACACTTTTTACATTTCAAAGTCGAAGCGAAACTGAAATTGAACCTCAAGTTACTTTATTAATATACATTCCAGGTTTATTTTGAATTATTGTTTTGTGCACTGTATTACAGAACATTTTTTGTTAATCTGTCTTCAAAATATAGTAACTTGTTCTACCCATGAAATTACTTTTTTTTTTATTTTTTATGCTTGACAACATCAACTCCTCCCCTCCACCCACCTGTCTTATAGAGACCATGAATAGCTAGTGGAAATAGTGTAGCAAACCCAAATGTGTTTGACAGAAGCTTGTTCTACCCATGAAATTACTTTTTTTTTTTTTTTAATGCTTGACAACATCAATTCCTCCCCTCCACCCACCTGTCTTATAGAGACCATGAATAGCTAGTGGAAATAGTGTAGCAAACCCAAATGTGTTTGACAGGAATAAAGGTAAAGTTATAGGCTTCTTACTTCATCACATTAACCGTGAATAAACTGTTTTCTTGTGTTTATTGGATTTGATTTTAATTTGTGTGTTGAAATTTCATTGATTCAGGTGAAACCATTACGACACAAACGCAAACTCCCTTCATGACTTTGAATAAAAGGCCACCGACGGAAGAGAGCACCATTGACATTGATGTCAACAAGCGTTCATCGTGCACCATAAAGGACCCAACAGATTTCACAAACATACTTGATATCAGTCGAGAAGACAATGAAAAGTGAGTCCATTCTGGTGTTTTAGGCCGTATGCTGGCATGAGCAAGTAACGCTTTTCCAGAATTGCATTGTAATCACAACTACATGAGGCTGAAGGGATTATTTGCCATCTTGCTAGCTATGTTTTGGAGGAGCTACCATGAAATTAGTAACAGTAATGTTATTGTATGGGTCTGTATGTATATCATCAGTAAAGCTATATGAATAACTAATTTAGTGGGCAACATTAATCAGTGTTATGTAGTACGTTGATGTATACATTACTGTGTGATTCAAGTGAGACGAAAGGTTGAAAAAAATGCTTGTTGTAAATGGCAAGATAACCCTTGTGAGCATTTTGCATGATCAGAATCTTTTTATTTATCACTTAGTATACTGATGTATTCACATTAACACCTTTTTGTCCCGTTTTTTTTTTTTGGTGCATTTCATCTGTTCTACAGGTTCAAGAGCTTGGCTGAACCCTCACCATCAGATTTCTTGGAATAAAGGCTGTGTTGTTGCCCAATATTAAAGTTTGCTCCAAAGAACGTGGCGTTATCTTGCATTCTATGGTTTCTACTTTCTACAAAGAGACATTACATCACTTATCTACATTCTGGTTGATATAGCCCGAAACATTCCTGCAATGGGGCCATTTCCTTCATGCCATTTTCCCTTCCTAAAATGTTTACTGATAAGATTGTCCCTTGCTGCTCTTTGTCACAATGAAAAAGTGTTAGTAGTAACAATTTAAGAGTCCAAAAAGAAGGAATATTCCCTTCTCTACATAAAACAGCATCAACATACAGTATGTTGGATGATGGAATTTACATCGCAGAATTAAAATTGGTTGCTGTTAACAAACATTTTTAACTTTGTTCATTGTTTACTTTGTGTGTTGTTGCTTCATACACATGTGTCTCAAGTTTGCTTTTGTATGTCTTTGTGCTTTACAGATTAACACTTTACGTTGGTCAAATTTATTTGCACTTTTTTTTATTGCAATTCATTTTTATAATAAATCAATATACATCTAAATTTTGGAACATTTATTGAACATTCACACCATCAGCAAGTAAGGATCTGAGGAAAAACAATAGAAAAAGTAATGAAATTAAACTGCAACTTGAATAATTTCACTGTCCTGTCCGTTAAAGTAGCCTAATAATGCAGCTTGTACATCCGTCCCTTCTGGTTGTCCGTGATCAATTAATGCCTGAACGGGAGGCTGCATGTACATATGGATGGCTGAAAGGTCGTCACTGAAGTGGTCACGTTCCTCACAGATATTGTGCAGCACACAGCAGGTCAAAACCATCTTCTTTATCAGCTCCAGTTTACAGTCACTCCTTTTTAAGAGGCACCTCCATCTTGCCTTTAGCCTTCCAAAACTTGAGTCCACAACTGACCTTGCACAACTCAACCTGAGATTGAACCGTTGCTGCTGTGGGGTTAGTCTGCCCGTGTCTGGAAATGGCTTCATCAGCCAGTTTTGCAAGGGATAGGCTGAGTCTCCAATCAGGTAGTATCCAACATCATAACCAGAGATGTGTACTTTGCTTTGGTTTAACGGGTGTCCATCATTCAACATCTTCCACAAATAAGACTGTCTTAGGACCCTCGCATCATGTACGCTGCCAGGATGGCCAACACACAAATCCCAGAAAAGCCCTTTGCCATCCACTACTGCTTGAATTACTATTGAATGCCACCCTTTCCTGTTAAAATAGTCACGAGGGTATTTTTCAGGTGCTATTATTGGAATGTGGCTTCCATCTATTGCACCCACACATTGAGGAACGTCCCAGCGATTTTCAAAAACATCTGCCATCTCTTTCAACTTTCTTGAATCTGGGAATTTAATGTGTACAGGCAGAAGAACTTTAATTACAGCGTTGCAGAAGTCCTGCACACAGTTGAATACAGTGCTCACGCCAACCCCGAAAAGCTGACTGACACTTCTGTACTCATTGCCAGTGGCAAGCTTCCAAAGGGCAATGGCAATTCGTTTTTTTACAGGTACACACAAGCGGAAATTGGTGTTCCTTCGTTCAAGCACATGCTTGAGGCGACAACAGATGTACTCAAAAGACTCCCGTGAGACCCGAAAATTCTGGATGAACTGTTCTGGAGTGAATTCAGGTACAATGGTATCCCACCACTTGTGCTCTCGAGGATAGGACCACACAGCAGATGTCCGTCTTCTCATGATCACCAAGGCTATCTGTTAAGAAAATGAAGGTGAACAGATATTATATAATGCCAGCTTTCTGTTATGGCAATGCAAATAATGCTTAAAGCATATTTGTGTCTTTCTACTTTGTTTAAACTTATATTTACATGCATGAATGTGACATTTACCCATAAAAAAAAAAAAAAACGTTTACAAGGTCACACAAAAAACAGTTTATCTCCAGAAATTAATGGAAGAATGTTATTCATTTTAAAAAATGTTTTAAAAACATTCCGACCAAATTTAAAGGAATAAACACAGTGCTAAAAAAAGATGTTTGAATGTTTCAGGAAAGGGAAAACAGAAGACACAGACTCTTTATAAAGAAATTGTATATTTATATTCATCATTGACACTTTTTTGCAATGAATTTGTGCCAGGCCTACACATAACCAGAAACGCTCTGATATATGATGCCTCGGAGAAAATGGACAGTTGATTGCATATGTAATTATTTTACAGAAATATAATTGGTTTGAAAACATCCCGCCCCCAGACTGGATCGTGCTTTGTACAGTTTAACTATAACGTAGCTACTTATTTTAAAGGACACCGAGGAAATTCCTCCATTGCAAGTACGTTACTTCGCAAAATGGTTGGTTTTCCAGGACGCGCGGAAAACCTTCACATCTTTAATGCATAAAAAAAAA